TTTTCTTCTCCTCACTTTTATTTCTCCAACATTATTTCCTCTCACTTTTCTTTCCTCCCATTTTCTTTAGTTATCAAACAAAGCATGAGTCAAAATGAACATCCTCAACCAACACACACATCCAAACCCAGTTTAAGACAAACTCTGAACTGAGAAAGAAGTAAATCTTCCCTTGCACGCTCTCGAACAAACGCGTATAAATATATCTAGAAATAAAAAACCCTTCAACCGCTATCTTGGAGAGACAAAGAAGAGACCTCTCGGTTCTGATCTTCATCAATGGACGAAATAGGAGAATCCTCAGCTTCAGCCAAACCCTCAGATGAAATCTGGGCCAAGCTTGGTAATCTTTACTCTCTCATTGTAGCGTCTCATAATTTTACCCCTCTTACGATTTCTTCAAAAGGGTTGAAATTCATTGCCTTAATTTTGTTTAAAACCCAAGATTGCATTTCGTATTATAATAAAGACTTCATTTTTATCTTTTATTCTGTCACCATATAAAATTGCTTTGAAATTCCTATCGTGTTAGGGTTCATTGGTTAAATTGCAGTCACAGACTTTTATTTAAAACCCTGTTATTTACTAGCACAATTGCTTTAACTGTTATATGAGTTTCTAAGGTCCTTACTTTTGTCAAACACTTTCCTTCATGCAGTTCAGTTAGACTCGAGATACTCAGATATTGAGATAAGGTCAGATGAATGCGAAATATGTTCCGAGATATTAGCTACTTCTAGTGATAAGCATAGCTGGTGCAAATAGTAAGGAACTCTGATCTATGTTCTGCTACTATAGAAAATAAGAGGTGAGTATTGGAAGTTTCTGTCTCTCGATAAGAAGGATCTTATCGCCTTTTCTCTGCTAATTTGTTGTCAATAAAGAACTTATTCTTTGGCGGTATCACGCATTCATGCTGTAGTTCAAATACAATACTAGTTGACGGGGCTGAGTTGCGCAATGGTGACAATGTTGTTATCAAAGATGGAAGTGAAATAATCTCAGGCCCTGATAGAGAAGGTTAGAATTTTTTTAATATTTATTATCATGGTATTTGGCTCCATTGAATTATCAATCCTCCAATATTTTTATTGTGGCATTGAACAAATTTTTTATGCAAATTACTTGGTTTTGATATCGTTGTTTAATTTTTCTAAGATGATTATCAATCTTTTTAATTCCATCATTTTCGCTTTATGGTACTAGGATTTGTCAACTACAGATTCCAAATCACGTCTAGCCCAAAAACCTGCCAGAATCTGCTAAAGGTTGACCTTTTCTAATTTGTCTACATCCTCAATGTCTTCATCAATACTATTTTTTATCTGCAGAAGTGCTGATGACTTGAATGTGTTTCTTTTCCAGATAACTATAGATGTTGATCATGCAAAGTGTAGTATTTGCTTAAACCTATGGCATGATGTCGTGACTGTTGCTCCATGCCTTCATAATTTTTGGTATGGATGATAATCTTTTGATCCTTTTTTAATTATTGTGGTTCTGTTTAGCTCATTGACATTTTCTTGGATTGTCGTGTGACATTACAGCAATGGTTGCTTCTCACAATGGTTAAGGAGATCGCAGGAAAATCATTCGACTGTACTTTGTCCTCAATGTAGAGCAGTTATTCATCTCGCTGGAAAAAATCACTTTTTGCGCACCATTGCAGAGGTACATTATTTGCCAAAGCCTTTCAGAGATTGAGTTATATAGTTGATCTACTCGGTGCAATAAGGCTTTGTTGTTGTTTTTACACAGTAGTTGTTTTTTCCCCTATACCTTTTTCAGGATATGGTGAGAGCTGATTCTTCCCTAAGACGCTCACTGGACGAAACCACGGTTTTAGATACATATGCATATGTACGATCAAACCTTGTAAGTATTTGTTGTTGATTTGTAATATAATATCTTTTCTTTGCTGTACAATTTTCCTGGAAATGAGTTATTATGGTTCGGGATGTTTTTCATTCATACCTTTTTTTTTTTTTTTCCATTTATTTTGTGATCTTACATCACAATCATGTTTTTGTTGTTTAATCTTGTCTGCTATGTTCTCTTTTACTAATTTCGTGTCTTCACTGTTAGCTCATTGGATATGTAAAGAATGGTCGAAAGAGGGCCAACACAACAATGATTGATCAAAACGATGGCACAGATCATCATTGCCCACAGTGTGGTAATATTACTGTTATACAATGTCAGATGAGGCAGTCTATGCAGCATACTCATTCTTCAATTTTTTCTCTTATCATACTCATTGAATTCACTTGCAACATAGTTGCTGATGTTGGTGGGTTTCGATGCAACCGCAACACTATTCATCTCCAATGTCAAGCATGTGGAGGAATGATGCCTTCTCGTAACGGCCTTCGTGTTCCTCAATATTGTAAGCCATCATGTGTGATTTAACTAATGACTCATTTTATTTTACTTAACTTGCGTCTCATCATCATATTCATGCCGTTGAAATAGTTATTTTTTAGTATTTTCCACTTTTTTACGGTGAACCTATAAATTTAAAATGTCATAAAATTCCTGTTTTTCCTTTTCTTGTAGGCTTAGGATGTGACAGACCATTTTGCGGAGCTTACTGGAATGATCAAGGGGTAACCAGGAGTAGCTCATACCCTGTGTGTTCCCGGGATATTTTAAAACCTGTATGGACTACTTTGTTTATAATAATTATTAATGTTAACAACGTTACGAAAGTTGCTTGCTGGAGAGTTCTTATATTTCTGTGTAATTATCGTGCCCTTGCATGGTGGATGATTTTGTCGATTATCTTTGCAGATCTCAGAACACACTATCACAGGAATTCCTTCGTAACCCATGAAAAGAATCTGCACGAACAGAGTGTATGCATTTATGGCTAACCATATTTTAATTGCTTCTGGTCTGTTTTCGTGGATTGTTTTTGAATACGATTATCTGTTCTGCGGCTTTGTAGATCACTGAAAGTTGCATAAGATTAATGGGGAGGACATTGCAGGATGTAATATCAGAATGGATAATAAAACTGAATAACAATGAAATTGGTAAAAGTTATAAACTTGTTACAAAAAGTTCTTCATCAGTGTAAATTGTTTGATCTGATGTACATTGACGATATCACCCATATCTTGGCAGATACAACACGAATGATTGCTGAATCACGCAGAGATGATGACAGCTGGGACTTTAGTATGCCGGGTATATTACAATTTTGAATTAATTGTATGATTATCATTCCAACCTTTGCATATTCGTAATGAATTATTTTAAACATGCAGTGATTGTTATGAGAAGTTGGTGTCATTTCTCTTATACTGGTTTCGCATCTCTATACCCAAAAATCTTCTCCCACCAGAAGCATCGGCAAGAGAAGATTGCTGGTATGGATACGCATGTCGGACACAGCACCGTAGCGAAGAGCATGCTCAGAAAAGGAATCATGTTTGCCGTCCAACCAGAGGTGCTTTCTGATGTAAATAAATGTTTTTTCTTCTGTAAGATCAGTGTTTCGTTTTCAGTTGTCTTTTCTTGTTTGGAGAAATTACTTTTGAAGAAGAGGTTTGAAGATGTGGAAACTCTGTATATCTTGATATACCTATTTTGCCAAATAACATATTTGGAGATGCATTTCGGAAATGCAAGGATGCATTTCCATAAAGTTAGCTTATTAATTCTGCTGGATGATATAAATAAGCTAGTTGATTGAATCAAAGTAATGCTTAGTATTATGTACTTTTAGTATTTTTGCATTTTTTTATCACAAATTTCTTATTCTAATATTTTTTAAAATTTTAAATTAAATGTAATATTGTGAAAACTTACATCATCACTGGTCTGACTGGGAGTGCTGACAATAAAAACAAAGGGATGGTAGAGAATTTGCAGCATCGTTGTGGAATAATCAAATATAGAAAAGTGGTTCAACTAACGGAAAATAGGATGGCAACACTTTTACGAAAAGACATCTCTGGATTTTGGATATGTATTTTCAGACAAAGTTTTTGGAAAAAAAATAAGGGTGTCTCATTTATGAAGTGATAAAAAATGTGTATAAAAGATGTATCTGGAGATTTATTTTCGAATTTTAAAAATATTTTTTTATTTTTCACCGTGGTGGTGGAGCACTTTATGGGGGGTGGAAAGAGTAACTTCTATAAATACTAGCACACAATTTATAGAGAAATTAATTTGTCACTCTCCGTATTATATATGACACCCCTTTAAATAGTATTAAAAGATTAAATTGCCCAGAACCAAATCATTCATCACGGATTCCAAATTCATGTTATCAATTGGATTTTTCAATTTTTTGGGCGATACCGGAAATATCTTGGGCAATACCGGAAGTTTCGCGAACAAGTGAGAATTTACGGTAGATTTGTGAAATTTTCGGTATTTTGTACCGAAAATTTTAAAATATTTGATATTTTCGTATCGAAAATTTTAAAATATCTGGTATTTTCGTTTACCATTTATACCAGAAATTTTAAAATTCCGGTTTGTCACAGAATACCAGAAATTTTGAAATTTTCGGTATAATTGTAACTCAATTTTCAACGATCAGGATTTTATTGACAGTTTTGTACGACTGTAATTGCACCGACATTTTTTTGTGGTCTAAAATAAATCTAAAGTTGTATAAATAGGGATCATATGTTGTTGAGAAAAATATCTCAAAATGCCTCTTAATTTTTGATTAAAACATAAATGTACTTCAACAAAGATAAACCTCTTGTTGAGTTCCGTTTTTCGGATGACACCACATATTTCGCCAACTTGACATCTAAGTTGAATGAATTGTTGTCTGATATCGATATCACAAAAATGAGAAAGATCGTGTTTCGTGAAGATTTGATTGATACTGATGGAAGAGTGAAATACAACTTTATTGAATTGAAGACCTGTGAAGATTTGACGGTTATATGGAGATCATTTCACCGTAGACTAACTAAGAGGTCGATTGAGTTTGATGCGAAGATTTCATGATCTCTCGACGACATAATCAAGAAGCTGAAACATCCGGAGTCATCTGATAGTGTGTAGGTTTTCATGTTTTGTTATTTTTAATTTATGTTTGTTGTAATGTTTTAAGTTATGTTCACCTTTAAAACATGTAATCGTCAAAATATTATATAATAAAAGGTACGCTGGTGGTAAGTAATAAGAGTTAAAAAAATACAAAAATCCAACTGTAAAATCAAATAATTAAATAGGCCCCACGTGCTATGTGTGCAGCCTGAGATAATTCAGTAACAACTTTACCATCTGATTTTACCAAACTCATGAGGTTATCCACAATAACATCGATCATTTGCAGGCGCTTTTGGTCATCTGTGTCTGGTGGAGGTGGCGGTGGCGGCATGTCGCCAGCCTATACCTCAACCTCATAAGGCACCACAACAGGAAGGATGATGCGAGGGTATGATACAATGAAGTACTACTCCAAGTATCCATCCTCACACTATAATTCATGTTGAACCCTCATCGCTCTATCTATAATGACACAAGCAGACTGATGATGTTACTCTGAAACCACCTGTTAATGCTCACAGCTAGAACATCCGGAACTGGTCATGGAATACTCTGGATATACCCATACTATCGCAGACACCTCTCAGGATAGATGTCTAGTGTTATACCCCAAAATTTGCCCTCCCATATTCCTCAAGAAATTGCCAAGCCAAGCTAGAAAAATTCCCCAAGGGTTGTGCAGGTCAACTGTCTCCCATACAGTCAAAATTAGGGTTTGGGTTCTGATCAAGAAAAAGAAGTGTTCAAAGGCCCAATCAAGTCTCATATGCTTACAAACATGGTCAAGCATCCTCACATCAAGTTTCAAGGCATTCAGCTCAAGATTGCACAGTCAAAACCCTAAATTGCACTACAGTCAACTGTAGGGGCAAAATGGTCATTTGACAGTCAAAAGTTCAAATTTTTGGTCAACATATCATTTTGAAGCCACAAACATCATTTGATCAATGCTTGATCATGATTCTCAAAATTTGGCTCAGAAATCATCAAAGATGCAAAAGTTGCTATATTTGGACAGCTGAAAAAGTCAACTGAAATTGACCAGGGCATAACTTTCACATGGATTATCAGAAAAATTCCATCCAAAGCTCATTTTGAAGAGAAAGACATTTCCTACAACTCATCTTCATACTTCAAGTCCAAGAAATGCTCTCACAAAAAGTTATCAATTTCAACATTACAGGTCATTTTCAAAAGTCAACAAAAAGGGACTTTAAGTCAAAGACCATAACTTGAGATTGGTAAATCAAAATGACATGGGACCAAAGGCATTGGTTAAAGGACTCAAAGACCTTTCCAAAATGTCCAAGAACATGTGAAAAGCTTAAAAATTGAGCGAGTTATGCCTTGTAGAAGTTGGGAAATTTTTGTGAAATGGCCAAAGTCAACTATCCTTGAAAATCCAATTTTTGACAAAAGGGCCCCATTTTTTCCACTTGGTCCATCCTTGTCATGCCACACACGTGGCCCATGATTAGTTTCAAGACCAAATATTGATTTTTTTATTTTATTTAATTTTTGATGATTTAATTCATTTTAATTCTTTGAAAATTCAAATAAAATGTAAAAACCAATGGAATAGTGTCCTGTGAACTTGGACAATTTCTATGTATCATGAACTAACTCAAGAAATCAGGCTAGGGTTCATTTACACACTAGGTCTAGGTTTTGGCTAAAAAGGAGGAAAAATGGTTAAGAATGAAAACCCTAAGACTAATTCCTTCACAAGCATGAATTAAGGCAAAAGAGCAAGCCAATTCCATTCCATGATGATCATTGAGTCAAACCCTAACCAGAATGCAGCAAAAGTCTCGCTCAAAAGTGGATTGGAACTTTGAAAAATAAGCCATATAAGTCAAAACTGAAATCAGTGCTAGACAATTTTTCAAGCCTTAATTTTTATACCATTAGCATCCTGAGGCATTTCTGAACACATTCCAATTCCTAACATCAATCAAAACACGCAGAAGCAATAGCTACAACTCAAGCTGTACATAAAATTTTTTGAAATCGTATTCTTAATTCTAAGCATCTTCATTGCATTTCAATTGGATATTCTTGTTCCATGTGATGTTTCCAAGCTATTCATGATGTTTAATTTCATTTTTGTTGATCATATGAGATTCTACCATTTTCGAATGTTAGGGTTACAGGTTCTTTAATTTAGGGCTTTCAAAAATAGGAAAAATCAAAGCTCAAGACCATTGTCATTAAAACCAGCATGTTCCAACGAGCAAGAAACAACCATCGCGAACAATTTATGTAGCCTATATGGCTATTCGCTATTTTTCCATAGCATGTTTAAAACAACGCTTCAAAACCGTTGCTGTTGTGTTTTTTGTTTCAGGGCACGCGAGGAAGAAGAAGTCGTGTCAGCTGGTGATTGATCAGTTCAAATCTCGCGCGCAGTTCAAATAGCACTAGCCTTTTGCTTTTATAATGTTTGTTGATTAATATATATTAAATGAATTCAAAGTGGCTCAGTGGCCAGGGACACGCGCATGTAACCTCAATGACCTGGGTTCAAGTCCCAGGTCTGGCAAAATTCATATTATTTTTCAAAACAAAATTCCATGCTTTGCTAATGTCCAGGTGCACCATAGGCCATCATGATCCAAACGCATACGTGTCCCAGATGCTCATCCAAGGGCTCAGAATCAAGGTATACCATGGATGCAAGTCAACAGGCGTGCACGTGGCTTAGGGAAGTCAACCAATTCAAGCAAATGGGCCAGGCTTTTCAAATCAATACCTCCACAATGGGACAGAACACCCCCCTGGTTCTATCTTTTTTTTTCTTTTTTCTAATTTTCTTTATATTCTATTATTTTTAAATTTACTTGTGTATTTTATTTTCTGATTTAATTAATTCTTACAAAAATATAAAAACATTAAAAATACAGAAAGGACAAAAAAATATAATTAACTTTGATTACTTTTATAAATAAATTAAAATGTAAATCATTTAGTTTAATTAGGTTTTAATTTTAATTCTTTTTCATAATAAAAAATCCAAAAAATGTAGAATTAGGTTAATTATTAATTTTTTATATCTTTTTTTTAATTGTTCCTTTTTTCTCACAATATTATTATTTATTATTTTTATTTTTATGATTAAAAATTGTACATAAATTAATTTAGAGTTAAATTAGGTTAAAAGTCAATATTTTTTCATAATAAACTTAAAAAACATTAGAACTAGGATTTTAATTTTAATTAATTTTTCTTTTTTTCTTTTAAATCTAAAAAACCCAAAAATACCATTTTTCATTCAATTTTAATTTCAGGTAACTTAATTATTTTAATTCCTTTAAAGGGTTCAACGCCCTCGCATTTGATTATTCTCTCTTTCGCGCATTTATTTTATATTGTTTAAATAATTCTGTATATGCCCCAAAGCCATGTAATAGCTATTAGACGTTTCTTTTCTGCAATTTATT